CAATTAATAGCACGCTCTAAACTCTGAGTCAATTATCACTGACAAAATCAGTGAAAGTCACTGGAAGTAATGTGATCTCCATTTTTAATTTTGATTTACATTGATTTTTGGAACTCATCGAAAATAATAAACAAATTAAATACTTCCAAAAATCATTCTAATTCAATGATCAGTAGGAAGTTAGTTTTATAGTTTAAACTTTCATAATTAATATAATAATTACATCGAATATTATGTAGTTTTGCACTTGTTTTTCCGATTATAGCAGATCATGATTTTTAATTTCGATTCATAAATCATGGGACATTACTGAAGCTCTGGAATCTATCCAGTCTGTGTTGTTGTATTTGACATTGGCCTTGCCAAATAAAATTTATAAAACAATAAATTCATAAAAAATTTAGGATAACTTGGCATGGACTTTATCAAATACATAGAATAGGATACAAGCGAAAACTACACGGAGAATAATGAATTTGCGGTTAAAATTAATGTAAAATATGTAACATTGATAAACAGGATAAATAAAAGTATGAAAAAAATAAAAATACAAACTTGGGGAGGCAAGAACGGGTGAGGTTGGTTTAAGGGGTTGTGGTATCTTACGCGGTGTATGCCTCGGGCGTATGATGTCTGCCCGCGCCTGAGCTCTACTCTGATTTGGATCAGCCGTATATCGTGAATCCATCGAGTTGCCATTACTCTTCGAGCTGAGTGCTGCCTCAGTTTTTTTGTTATAGACTGGAATATAAATATCATCGATCAATTTAAAATGCGGACTTCAATAAAGTATACAAGAGTGGGAAAAATTAAATGATGAGGTAAAATCAAATCAGCATTCAATATCGGTAAATTGATTTTAATTATAGAAGGGCTATAATTCCTAGCCAAATTCAGGAGATTAAAATTTTTCTTTAAAGAGTTATTGCGATCTCCGATCGTTCTCAGTAAACTTTTCCAAAAATTTCGAAACGTTCACCAAAAATTCTGAAAAATAGACGCTCGACTACAGAAATTAGTCAATCATTGAATAAAACCAAAAACGATATATTTTTTCAAGTGAATTTACATAAAAACATGAAAAATGGGAAGATATCGGCAATAACTCCTTAATGCATTCGATAAAGATCTTTCGAGCTATGGGGCGTTAATTCTAGAGAACCTTTTGATAAACTTTGATAATTACCTAGAGGTTGAGGGTCCTGTCTCTTACTGCAGCACTTTCCCATTTTTGTGAATGATATCACTCTTCAGTTATCAGAAAGATTTTTTTCCGTAGCTCTTCTTCGCGCGTTTACTTAAAGTCCGGATGATTTCACCCAATTTTATGTTTTATCTGCCCACTTGGATATGACGTCCATACGGAGCTCCCATCGTGCCCAATTTTCTCCTTCGCATTGAGAACAACTTACGATTTAACCTGATACAATTGTCATCTCAATCTCGCCACCCTTCTAATTTGCTTCTCTCATCTGAAATAAAAACAAGAATAATCATCTATAACATTCTTTAACGCATGATTAATTGAATAAAACACCCAACTCAATGATTTCCGTGTCGAGGAGAACTCGAAAATAGAAAACAGGACATCGGACGATGAACGCATTTTACTAAATCTTAAGACTTTTTCAAGTTGACAAGATCAAATGATCGAGTTCACCGAGTAAAAAAATTATTTTATCCAAATGAAGGGATTCAGTACTACCTCATTTCATTGACAAAGATTTTTTTTTCGTGGGGTACAATCGAAGGGGCAATGAAGTTTTGAAGATTTTTATTTAGTCTATTCAATTTCTCAATGAAAATGAGAAACCTATGTTATACATTTGTAGACTTACAACTCTGTTGTAGAAGCTAATTCATTTGCAACAATGTTTCAAGTACGTGATTTTAGAAAAAAACTTTCACTTCAATGTTTTCCCTTTTATAATGAACCAACAGGAATGTGACGGCGCGTTGTTTAATATATTCTTACTATCACTTAGTACATTTCCAAATGATTCGATCCCTCATTGTTTCACTTTTTTAGGGCGATGTAATGACGCGATAACCTTGTTCCCGGGGATGCTGGGTCCATTCTTCTTTAAGGTTGTTGTCGCGTAGAATTTTTTTTCGACAGTTTTCGTTAGAAATTTTATGGTGAATAGTTTGAAAAATTAGCAACAAAATGAGCCTTTTTCGTTTGCAATTGACCGTTTTGAACTTGAGATATAAATTTTTGAAATTCGAGTGATTTAACACGTGTTTAAATGGA